GTGACTCCACCGTGTCCACCCCTTTTCTAGACCCATCATGTCACGGCCACCAGAACACAAAGGTTCTCTCTGAATCTGATACACAACTCCACCCTACCCTAGGGCTGCCATTATACGGCCGTCTCCAACTCGAATCCCTCCTCCGAACTCAAAACCTGTGTGTCCAGCTGTCCATCTGACAACCCCACTCAGAAGTCTGGAACGTCACGGATTCGATCTGGTCAGAACCTAACTTGTGGCATTATTCCCACTAACTTCACCATCTCAACTGAGGACTTTGCTATCCTTACGCCTTCTCAGGCCAAAAACTGTGGGTCACCTCCAACTCCTCCCCTCTTCCTCTCCTCCTCCTCCTCATCAGTCACTCCCTCGGCTGCTCCACACCTTCCGCGGCTCCGACCTCGCTCAGAGCAGACACCGGCTCCACCGACGGCCACTCCAAAGCTGGGTCCTGGTCCTCGCACTCTGATCGCACCAGGCACCGTGGAGACCTGCGGTTTCCTGAACACGCCCAGTGCAACCTCACGCAGTGCATCTGCACACGCGGGTCCTGTGCTGGGGACACTGCTCACACTGCACTCACCGCTTGCTGGAAATGGAAACCCTTTCACATGATTCGAGAAGTCAGGGCTCAAGACCTCTGGAGACAGAGGGGTCCCCAAACTCAGTGGCAGATAGAAGGCGGATTACGAGCCCTCAGACACCATTCACTGTACTGGGAAGCCAGGTTTATGGGGCGAGGGTGGTGGAATGCGGGCCTGCCATTGCTGCAGTCACCTCCGCAGGGGTCATAGGAGCTCCTGCCCCCACAGCAGCCCTGAGGGGGAGGGAGCTGGGAGTGGTCCGTTGCCACAGTGGCATCTGAGGGACGGGGGCCTGCCCTGCCCCTCGCTGAGGATGTCAGGTGGTCTGAGCTCAGATCCTCACACCTTAGTGCTGCCTCCTACCATCCGCGTGAGCTGGAGCAAAGACCTGTGTCTCAGTGTCTCCATCTGTAACGTCGAGGTGATGGTGGTGCCCACCTCCCAGAGCTGCTGCTGACAACGGACGTGTTAGTACAGCTCAGACACCTCTGAGTTACCCTTTACTGCCCACAAGCTTAACACTTTGCAAATGGTTTGGTACAAATGAGGTGATAGGTTTTTTAAATTCTGAGTTTGTTTTTAGTCGCTTAAGAAAATGTGATATTTGAGACTTTCCATTATAATGAAAGAAGCAAGAACTTTAATCGATTACTAAGCACGGGTATAAATATGTAGATAATTTCCATCTACATATCCTAATTCTTAAGTGACTGCTTATATATACTTGCCAAGTGTACACTAGTCCTGTCATCAAACCAGCCTATCTAGGGCATCGTCCTCTGAAGGCAAGCCTGCCAGTGGCCCTTCATCAGCAGTGTTTATCAGCCTGGTCGGTCTTGCTCAGTGGTTAGAGTGTCAGTCCATGCACTGGGGGTCACGGATTCAATTCCCAGTTGAGGGCAGGTACCTGGGTTGCGGGTTCACTCCCTGCCTCTGGTCGGGGCGTGTGCAGGAGGCAGCCAATGGAAGTGTCTCTCTCACATCAATGTTTCTCTCTCTCCCTCCTTTCTATTCTCTCTCTGAAAAGTAACAGGAATGGTATCCTCCCTTCAAACCTGAGGAGTGGGGAACTGATGGACCGTGGGTCTGGGCTGGTCCAGGGCTGTTCCCCTGGCCTGGCTGGCTTTCTCTGTGCCCCACAGGCAGTGCCTGTGTGCCTGCTGAGTCCACCCCACGGCAGCTCTGTAGCACCCCACTCCTTGCTTCCTCTATCCAGGTGGGGATCCTAGCATCAGCCAGATCCTTTCATGTATCAGGACCAACCCCCCCCCCCCCCCTTTCTGTAGGAAACCTCAGGGATGTTCTCCCTTCCGCCCCTGCCCTCCAATCTCTCACCGCAGGGGCCACATTCAGTAACATCCCTAATGTTCTTCCCCCGAATCTGATCTCCAGGGTGTGACCTGAGGCCTCATACCCAGATGCCCATGTGATACCTCCACTGCGGAACACCTTAGCTTTACTAGGTCCAAAGCCCAACTCCTGACGGCCCTACAAGGTGGTCCCCGTTCCAGCCTCCATTCTTCAGGGGAAACACAACAGAACCCGATGCCCTGCCCGGGTAGCTCAGTTGGTTACAGCATCCGCCCGACGTGCCAAGGCCACGGGTTCAGTCCCCGGTCAGGGCGCATACGAGAATCCACCAATGAACACGTACATCAGTGGAGAAAGAAATTGGTGTTTCTCTCTCTAAAATAAAAATTAAATTGTAGCCGAAACCGGTTTGGCTCAGTGGATAGAGCGTCGGCCTGCGGACTGAAAGGTCCCAGGTTCGATTCCGGCCAAGGGCATGTGCCTTGGTTGAGGGCACATCCCCAGTGGGAGATGTGCAGTAGGCGGCTGATCGATGTTTCTCTCTCATCGATATTTCTAACTCTCTATTCCTCTCCCTTCCTCTCTGTAAAAAATCAATAAAATAATAAAATATATTAAAAAAAAATTAAATTGTAAAAGTCCACTCACAGCCGTATCTGACCCAGCAGCAAATCCTGTTGCTTCTGTCTCGGAAATCTCTCCAGGACTGAATGACCGCTCCACCCGCGGCCCCTCCTGCCCCTGCCCCCCCACACTCCTGGAGTCTGTGGACCCCTCCCCAGCCTCCCTGCCTCCATCCTCATCATCCCCATCCCACGCTCGTCACCGTCCCCGAGTGAACGCTGGGGTACCTGCCTCCTCACAGTGAAGCTGTTACAGGATTCCAGGGCAGGAGGGAGAGGGAAACAGACAGGAAAGTTCAAACAAGGCCAAACAACATGAGCCATGTGCAGCCAGCGAGTAACTAACAAGCCACTGTCCTCCCCAGCCAAGGACACAGAGCAAAGGGTTTAAAAGAAAAAAACCAACAACAAACGAAAAAAACCTCCCTAATGAGAGAATGCAGAAAGGGAGGGAGGAAGAGGAAAGGGAAATAAGGAGGGTTCTGTTCCCTAAGCAGAGAAGCCAGCAGTCTGAAGGCTGGGCAAGATAACGTTGCCAGGTGCTTCTCATGAATTCTGGGACGGTCATGCCGAAGTGAAAAAAAAAAAAAAAAGAAAGAAAGACCTTAGGAATGAATCTGCACCGAAATAGTCAACAGCGGAATTCTGAGACCTACAGGCAGGAGGGCATTTAACGCCTCAGATCCGCCCCCAACCTGCTCTTCCGATTAGCCGAGAGCCCGGCTGCACTTCCTAAGTCAGGTGTATAGGTTTCCTGGCTTTACTTTTTCTTTGTTTTTTTTAGGTATTTTTATTGCTTTCAGAGAGGAAGGGAGAGAGAGGTAGAGGCATCAATGATGAGAGAGAATCACCAATTGGCTGCCTCCTGCACGACCCCCATCGGGGATGGAGCCCACAACCCTGGCACGTCCCCCTGACTGGAATCGAACCCAGGACCCTAGAGTCCACAGGCTGACGCTCTAGCCACTGAGCCAAACCGGCCAGGACTCTTTTTTTAAAATATATTTTAGTGATTTTTTACAGAGAGGAAGGGAGAGGGATAGAGAGTTAGAAACATCGATGAGAGAGAAACATCAATCAGCTGCCTCCTGCACACCCCCTCCTGGGGATGTGCCCGCAACCCAGGTCCTTGCCCTTGACCGGAATTGAACCCGGGACCCTTCAGTCCGCAGGCCGATGCTCTATCCACTGAGCCAACCCGGTTAGGCCTTACTTTACTTTTTCAATAAAGGCACATAGATTAGCCCGGCCAGCGTGGCCCAGGGGTTGAGCATCGACCCATGAGCCAGGAGGTCACAGTTCGATTCCCAGTCAGGGCACAGGCCCAGGTTTCAGGCTGGATCCCCAGTGGGGGGCGTGCAGGAGGCGGCCGATCCATGATTCTCTCTCATCATTGATGTTTCTCTCTCTCTCTCCCCCTCTCCCTTCCTCTCTGAAATCAAAACACTTTAAAAAAAAAAAAGATGCATACTTTATTTAGCCCACCGGTTCTCAACCTGTGGGTCGCGACCCCTTTGGCGGTGGAACGGCCCTTTCACAGGGGTCGCGTAAGACCATCCTGCATATCAGATATTTATATGACGATTCATAGCAGCAGCAGCATGACAGTGATGAAGTAGCAACGAAAATAATTTTATGGTTGGGTCACAACATGAGGAACTGTATTTAAAGGGCCAGAAGATTGAGAACCACTGCTTTAGCCTGACCGGTGTTGCTCAGTGGATAGAGGGTCGGCCTGCGGACTGAAGGGTCCCGGGTTCGATTCCGGACCAGGGCATGTACCTGGGTTGCGGGCACATACTCAGTAGGGGGTGTGCAGGAGGCAGCTGATGGATGTTTCTCTCTCATCGATGTTTCTGACTCTATCCCTGTCCCCTTCTCTCTGTAAAATATCAATAAAATATATTTTAAAAAAATAAGCTGGCTTTTCACAACGCAGTGGAGGGCTCTCATAGACTCACGTATCTGAGGAGACCAGACCCCCCACTGGCCGGGTGTCCGTGAGGAAAGCCCGTAACGCGGCCTCCCTCCCCCGTCGGTCCGGGCGGGACTGGGGCTCCCGGCTGCTCCCCGCGTCCGGGACCCGAGCTCCCCCACCGCCCGCGGCCCGGGCGCCCCGCCCACCTCCCGCCTCACTGGCCGCTGCGAACGGCGGCTCCTCCCACACACGCCCCGGGCCCGGGCGGCACGCGCTGCCGGAGCCGCCGCGCCTTCCCGGCCGCAGGATCGGAGGGAGGGTCCGGGCGCCTCCGGGTGCGGGGGACGCGGCACCTACCTCGCCCGGGCTCCCCCCTGCGGCCCGGCCCGCACGGTCAGGACGGCGCGGAGCCGTGAGGGTGCCGGCCCGGACCCAGGTCCCCGAGGACGCTTCCGCCGCCGCCAGGCTCCCCCCGGGGGGCCGGGGTCCCCTCCCGTCGCCTCGGAGCCCGACCGGGGCTCGCCCACCTGCGCACGCTCGGCCCTGCCAGACGGCGACAAGATGTCTGCCGCAAGGAAGACGCCGGAAGTCCCGGCCAGGCACGTCCCGCGCCCCCAGCGCACGGCGCGGAGGCCTCTGGATAATGTAGTCTGCCCGCCCAGGCATGTTCCGCGTCTGCAGCGCCCAGCGCGTACGCCTCTGGGTAATGTAGTCCGCCCGCCCAGAGACGTCCCGCACGCCCACCGCGCGCCGCAAAGGCCTCTGGGTAATGTAGTCTGTCCGCCCAGGCATGTTCCGCGCTCCCAGCGCCCAGCGCGGAGGCCTCTGGGTAATGTAGTCCGTGCAGGGCTGCAGCCTGGAGCTGGCGCCCTGGTACCCATGGGAGCTTTGGGAAATGGAGCTTGGAGGCCCAGATCTTTGAGGAGTGAGCATATTTCGAGATATATTCCCTGACATAGTCCCCAAAGCTACAGGACACAACAGTGCCACGTGAAATGCCAGAGTCCGCTCCGATCTGGTTTTTGGTTTGAAGGCCACTATTTTATTATTACTTTTTAAAAATTTTTTATTGTTTTTTTTACAGAGTGGAAGGGAGAGGGATAGAGAGTTAGAAACATCCATGAGAGAAAAACATCGATCAGCTGCCTCCTGCAACCTCCTTACTGGGGATGTGCCCGAAACCAAGGTACATGCCCTTGATCGGAATCGAACCCGGAACCCTTCATTCCGCAGGCCGATGCTCTATCCACTGAGAAACACCGGTTAGGGCAGGAGGCCACTATTTTAGAAAGTGAGTTTTTTAAAAAAATATTTTTATTGATTTCAGAGAGGAAGGAAGAGGGAGAGATAGAAACATCAACGATGAGAGAGAATCATCGATTGGCTGCCTCCTGCAGGTCCCCCACTGGGGATGGAGCCCACAACCCGGGCATGTGTCCTTGACCAGAATCGAACCTGGGACCCTTCAGTCCGCAGGCCGATGCTCTATCCACCAAGCCAAACCGGCCAGGGCAAAAAGTGTTTTTTATATACTTTTTAAATTGATTTTGGAGAAGAAAAGAGAGGGAGAGGGAGATAGAAACATCAATGATGAGAATCATTGACTGGCTGCCTCCTGCAAGCCCCACACTGGGATCCAGCCCGCAACCCAGGCCTGTGCCCTGACCCAGAATCAAACCTTGATCTCCTGGTTCATAGATTGAGGCTCAACCACTGAGCCACTCTGGCAGGGCCGATTTCCTTGTTTTTTTAACGATGTGTAGAGGGGAGCTTTCAGGCAGTTTTGTGAGATTCAGTTGGGTCAGGGGTAAGAGAATTGTCTCCGGACAGGGCTGTGGAGTGGAAGGAGGAGGCAGGAGGTTGGGGCTCTCTGAAGCAAGTGACTAACTGGAGTGCTTCCTCTTGTTAACCCAAAAACTAGTGGCCCTTTGGCCTTGGCTGGTGGCTCAGTTAGTTGGAGCAACCTCCCCTCTGCCAAAAGGTTGTGGGTTCGATTCTGGTCAGGCCTTTCAAAGCCAGGTACAAGCATTTATTTGGGATCAATAATAGCTACTTGGGAAGCACTGATTCAGGCAGAAGCCAAAATAGTGTTCCCATTGGGAGGCAGAGGCAATGGGCATTCAGGAGAAAGGGAAGGAGAACAGCTGCATCAGTGGAAGGAAAGCATTGCTACGGGTGCAGATAACAGAACAGCGATGCTAATCCTAGACCAGCGGTTCTCAACCTGTGGGTTGCGACCCCTTTGGGGGTCGAGTGACCCTTCACAGGGGTCGCCTAAGACCATTGGAAAACACATATATAATTCCATATTGTTTTTGTGATTGATCACTATGCTTTAATTATGTTCAACTTGTAACAATGAAATTGGGGGTCACCACAACACGAGGAACTGTATTAAAGGGTCGCGGCATTAGGAAGGTTGAGAACCACCGGGCTAGAGGAAGGGCTAAAGGATTTCTCTCATCCACCCCATACATAATGCCTTTCTCCAGAACAAACTCTCTGCTGTTGAATAAGGTTGGAACTTTGTCTTAAAGAATCTGCTCACAGTCACTGTGCTGATAAAGCATTTCTCCAGAGTAAGCTTTCCTGTATCAAATGAGGTTAAAGATTTGTCCAGCCCGTGGACTGGAGGGTGTCAGGTTCATTTCCGGTCAAGGGCACATATCTCAGTTGCAGGCCCTGGTTAGGGCGCATGCGGAGGCAGCCAATTGATGTATGCGTCTCACATGGATGTTTCTCTGTCTCTACCCCTCCATTCCACACACTTTGAAAAAATCAATGGAGCCTGGCTGGCGGGACTCAGTGGTTGATCGTTGACCTATGAACCAGAAGGTCATGGTTTGATTCCAAGTCGGGGCACATGCCCAGGTTATGGGCTCAATTCCGTGTGGGGCATGCAGAACACAGCCAATCAATGATTTTCTCTCATTATTGATGTTTCTGCCTCTCTGAAATCAATAACATATATATTTTTTTTCTTTAGATTTGTCCAGCCCTGACTGCATCGTTCAGTTGATAAAAATGTTATTTTGATACACCAAAGTTGTGATTTTGATTTCAATCTGGGCACATAAAGGGGTCATATAATGAATGCATAAACAAGTGGATAATAAATCAATGTGTCTTTCTACTTCCTTTGTAAAACCATAATTTAGAAAATTGTCCAGTCTCATACAGTGTTGCTCAGTGATTAGATCATCAGTCTTCGTATTAAAGAGCCATGGGTTTCATCCCCACCACCAATCCAGTGGGAGTATGTGCAGGAGGCAACCAGTCGATGTTTCCCTTTCACACTGATGTTTCTCTCTCTCTCCCTCCTTCCTCGCCTTCCACCCTCTCTGAAAAGCAATGGAAAAAATATCCTTGGGTGAGGATTAACCAAAAAAAATTGTCCAAAATGGTTCCCCCATTCACTTCACTCATAAGGCTTTTATCTACTGTGAACTCTGTAGTGTTGGAAAAGACTAGAACTTTGTCTAAAAAACTTTGGATTCACTACAGTCATAAGGCCTTTCTCCAGTGTAGCCACTGCCGGGTTCACTTAGTTTAGAGCTCTGAGAGCCTTCCAACAATCACTACACTAATTCAGCTTTTCTCCAGTGTGACCTATTGAGTGAGTGCAGATCTTTGGTTTAAGGACTTCCCACAATAACTACACTCATTTGTAGTGACTTTTCTCCACTGTATACTCCTGTTGTTGAATGAGGGCAGAATTTTGGCTTAAGGATTTTCCATATTCACTACACTCCTACAATTTTTCCAAAGTGTGAACACGCTTGTGTCTAATAAGTTGAGATTTCAGGTTAAAAGATTTCCCACATTCACTACACTTCAACGGATTTTTTCCAGAATGAACACGAAGGTGTTGACTAAGACTGCTGCGCTGTCTAAAGCATTTCCCACACACACTGCACTCATATGGCTTTTCTCCAGTATGACACCTCTGGTGTTCGGTGAGGCTACCTTTTAGGCTGAATGACTTCCCGCAGTCACTACAGCCATATGGCTTTTCTCCTGTGTGAACTTTCCTATGTTGGAAGAGGTTATACTTTCTGCCAAAGGTTTTCCCACATTCACTGCATTCATAAGGCTTTTCTCCAGAGTGAACTCTCTCATGGTTCAGGAGGTAATCTTTGCGCCTAAAAGATTGCCCACATTTCCTGCACTCGTAAGGCCTTTCACCCGTGTGACCTCTGTGGTGCTCAATGAGCTTAGAGCTACAAGTGAAGGACTTTCCACAATCACTACACTCATATGGCTTTTCTCCAGTGTGAACTTTCTGGTGTTGAATGAGGGCAGAACTTAGGCTAAAAGAATCTCCACAGACACAACATGCATATGGCTTTTCTCCAGTGTGAACAGTCTTGTGTCTGATAAGTTGGGATTTGCGGTTAAAAGATTTCCCACATTCACTACACTCAAAAGGATTTTTTCCTGAATGAACTTGACGGTGTTGAATAAGACTCCAGCGTTGTCCAAAGCATTTCCCACACACACTGCACTCATATGGCTTTTCTCCAGTGTGACATCTCTGGTGTTCAGTGAGGCTAGAGTTCTGGATGAAAGACTTCCCACAGTCACGGCACTCATATAACTTTTCTCCAGTGTGAACTTTCCTATGTTGACGGAGGTTATAGTTTCGTCTAAAGGTTTTCCCACATTCGCTGCACTTGTAAGGCTTTTCTCCGGTGTGAAATCTCTCATGCTTAAGGAGGTGATCTTTGCGCCTAAAAGATTTCCCACACTTACTACACTCATAAGGCCTTTCACCAGTGTGACCTCTGTGGTGGTCAATGAGTTTAGATCTGTGTCTGAAGGACTTTCCACAATAACTACACTCAAATGGCTTTTCTCCAAGGTGGACTCTCTGGTGTTTAAGTAAAGACCTTCGGCTAAAGGACTTCCCACCATCACTACACCCATAGGGCTTTTCTCCAGTGTGAATTCTGCGGTGTTGAATGAGTCCGGAGGTTTGGCTGAAGGACTTCCCACAATCACTACACTCACGAGGCCATTCTTGAGTGTGAACTCTCCTATGTTGAATGAGGCTTGACGTTTGTCTAACATCTGTTCCACATTTGCTACAGTCACCAAGCCCTTCTCCAGAGCAGACACTCTGACGCCGAACAAGTTTCTGGCTGTGGCGGGCGGCTTTTTCACATCCACCTGACTTGTGATGACTTTGCCCACTCTCACCGCCACTGTGTGGCTCTGCACTGTTAGGAGAAGCCTGATGCTGGCAACTTCCTGAAATGGCTGGAAGGTCCTCCCTGAACTCCCTACAGGGAAAAGGCACCATGGATACGGAGGTGGACCAGGTCCTAAATGAGGCCCTGAGCCCTTTCCCGGCCTTCTCTCTCCGGGCTTCCCTCTGCTGCTGGTGAACGTGTGCAGGGAGACAGAAGCCTCTCATGTATGTGTCACTGAAGAAGGCTCGCTGCTCAAGGCAGGCTGCTTGGCCCTCAGTCAGGTGCAGAATATCTTTCAAGACCAAGACACAACGCTCACAGGAATGTGTTTTCTCAGCGGCTGGAGCTGTCTCAGATGCCCTGACCTGTGACTCTCCTTCTACAGACACACTCTGCTCAGAACAGGCCTCCTCGTCATCCGTTTTATGGCAACAACCTGAAAACAGAGCAACGATGAGGAAATGAATGTTGACTTTACTGGGAGGGGGAAGTCCCATTACAAAAACGTGTCACTTTCAATACACTGGTAAATGGGATTGTCTGAAAACACAAGACCTAGAGGCTGGTTGAATAAGGTGCTGTGTAGTCCTGGGCCTCAGAAGATCACAAAGCAGGGGAGACCTCCCTGGGAAAAGGACACAGGGGTTACATGCAAGCTTGTGGAACAGAAGCAGGATCTCCAAACCTTGGTTCTGCTAACCGCGCTCAGAAGGGCTTGTCTGCCGCTGACATGAGGTTGGTCATAGCCTTTTCCCAGTCAAATTCAGTACGTGTGCAGCTGGGGCTCAAATACCACTCAAGGATGCACACACACATCCTAACGCAGGCGCAGGTTATTGTCGGGGGGAGCAGTTACTGCTGAGGGAGCAGCACAGAAAAAACAGGTGACGCACAGAGGCCACAAAGGGGAAGGTTGGCAGAAACTGAAAAGCTCTAGATAAAATTCTAGAAAAGTTCTAGACAAGTCAGCAAAGTGTCAAACGTGAAAATGAACAGGTAGAAATGAGGTGCAGCCAGTGGCACCAAAACACGACATGACACAGTGCAGGTTCCTGGTATGATGTAAAGACAGCCCTTAGGTCATGCCCTCCAATAGTCACCGATCATCATGGCCAGGCCTCTTCTGAGACCATGTTGCCATGTCCACCACGTGAAAAAACACACCATGTTACTCTCCCTGCAGCTTCTATGGTCAGAGTAGTTGCACCTTCTACAACTATTCAGAACTTAAATGATGAGAGTCTTAATGAAAGAAAACAGAGGTGAACAGCCGGCACAGGACCAGAGCAATCTGGCATATAATATTCAGGGAAGAAAATATTAAAAACAGCAATGGAAGAAGGACCTTACAAGAACAGCCCGAGGTTCATGCCAGTAATAACCATGACCTGGTACAGGCCGTCAAAAAGAACCTTCAGAACTGGAGGCCATGGAGCTGGACTTGGTCACGCTGCCATGGAGACGGCCAGCAAAGTGGGACCCATTAAGCTGTCTGCAAGACTGCTGACTCAAAGACACTTAATTACAATTTTTTTAAATTGATTTCAGCGAGGAAGGGAGAGGGAGAGAGAGATAGAAACATCAATGATGAGAGAGAACAACTGTTCGGCTGCCTCTTGCACGCCGCCTACTGGGGATGGAGCCCACAACCTGGTCATGTGACCTTGACCGGAATCGAACTCGGGACCCTTCAGTCCACAGGCCAATGCTCTACCCACTGAGCAAACCAGCTAGGGCAATTTTTGAGGCAACAGGTGTAAGGGGTGCTCAAGGCCTCATTTGCTCAGGGCACTCCACACAGCCCAGCACCAGCGGACACAGCACATACGAAAGGAAACTGAGAATTTAGCAGGGCCCATAATCTGCCTGTGGAAGAGACAACGCTATTTTGGAGAAAATAGGTAAGGAAAGACATCACCTCAGGACACCAAAAGAGATGTAAACGTCTTACCCACGGAGGCTACAAGTGCAAACACTTCCAGCATCTCCTCGCAGTACAGAAGTCTCTGAGCCGCATCAAGGAGCCCCCACTCCTCCTGAGAAAAGGCAATGGCCACATCCTCAAAGTTTATATCCTGTCATAATGGGGACAGTACAGCCCATGATCAGTTCCTTCCTAGGATTCCAAGTTTTTCATACCCCTCACCCTCCACATCCACCTGCTCACTCCACTCCCCACCTCAGAAAATATTCCAGGGCTTGGTGCCATCAGAATCTCTTCTTATATTCATATATATATATATATATATATATATATATATATATGTGTGTGTGTGTGTGTGTGTGTGTGTGTGTGTGTGTGTGTGTGTATTTTCTTGACTTTTTACAGAGAGGAAGGGGGAGGGAGAGAGTTAGAAACATCGATGAGAGAGAAACATCGATCAGCTGCCTCCTGCACACTCCCCACTGGGGATGTGCCTGCAACCAAGGTACTTGCCCTTGACCCGAATCAAACCTGGGACCCCTGAGTCCACAGGCCTATGCTCTATCCACTGAGCCCAACTGGTTAGGGCTCTTCTTGTATTCTGAATGACACTGTGTCTTCCCAAAACAACACCAGGCAGGTGGGTGGATAAACATTACCTGAACTCTGGGTCTGGCATGTGGGCTACATTGTATCTTGTTAACATGGTGAGTGTCACAAACAAAGATGGAAAAGAAAAGTTTGTTTTGGGACAATTGTGAATGATTTGACATTGGAATTCTTAGGCCATTGGAATTGGTCGGCAAACTGCGGCTCGCGAGCCACATGCGGCTCTTTGGCCCTTTGAGTGTGGCTCTTCCACAAAATACCACGTGAACAGTGCGATTTGAACTTCGTGGCCCATGCGCAGAAGTCGGTATTTTGTGGGAGAGCCACGCTCAAGGGGCCAAAGAGCCGCATGTGGCTTGCGAGCCGCAGTTTGCCGACCACTGTCTTAGGCAATACCATTGTGGGCGCCCAGATTGTCCCTCCAAGAAACAAAAACATGATATTAATCTTCACCCATATGACCCTAACCCCAGGGTCTGAGGCCATCCCTTTAACACTACCATCTGCACATAAGTGTTTTAATTTGTTTTTTAAAATCCTCACCTGAGGATATTTTTTCACTGATTTTAGATAGAGGAAGGGAGGGAGAAAGAGAGAGAGAGGAAGAGAGAGAAACATTGATGTGAGAGAGACACAGCGATTGGTTGCCTCCCGCATGTGCCCCAGGTGGGGCCTGAGATCGAACCTGCAACCCAGGTACACATACATGCTCTTGACTAGAACCCTCAAGCCTTCAGTGTGTGGGCCTACAGTCTAACCATTTAGTAATACCAGCCAGGACTGCACATAATTCTTTGAATCACACTCCCTCACACAGCTGGTCTCCCAGAACAACTTCAAAGATAACACAAACATGTGATGATGATGATAATTTATTCCCTGAACAGTGTCTTTCCCTGGATTCTAATTTTATCATCTCCCTAATCTATCCCAGGCTTACACTTCTCCCTTCCCCATGCCAGGGCATTTTCATGGCCCAGTGGCACTGATGCCCACTGTCTCATCAAGGTCCTATTGGCCAGCACATCAGCCCTCGACAGCAACGGGCAGGTGGGCAGATAAATGGCATGTAAGCTCTGAACCTGGCACATGAGACCACAACAACCCCTCTTTTCAGGTAATTCTCAGGGGTTTCTATATTGTTCCCTCCAGACACCGTCCTGAACTCCTCCTCATCTCATGCCCTTAACAGGCCAAAAATAAAACTGATATTTCCCAAAGAAAGTTACTCTTCATACTACTGATTTCCTCACAGTTGATGGTACTTCCATTACTACAGCTGCTAAAACCATACCGACATGTTAAATGTGACTCTTACCCCTCTCTCTCTCTCTCTCTCTCTCTCTCTCTCTCTCTCCCTTCAAATTAGAAATTCCAGGTTGTGCCCTGGCTGGGTTGCTTAGTTGGTTGGAGCATCGTCACAATAAACCAAGGTTGCAGGTTCAATCCATGTCAAGGCACGTAAAAGAATCAACCAGTGAATGCACAAGTAAAATAATAAGTCAATGTCTTCCTCCCCCCTTCCTCGCTCTCTAAAATCCTATATAATAAAAGGCTAATATGCAAATTGACCAAGCAGTGGAATGATAGATCACTAAAATGCACACTGACCACCAGGGGTCAGACGCTCAATGCAGAAGCTGCCCCCTGGTGGTCAGGTGCTCCCACAGGGGAAGCACTGTTCGGCCAGAAGCTGGGCTCACAGCTGTGAGCAGAGCGGCTATAACGGGAGCCTCTCCCGCTTCTGCAGCAGAGCTAAGGATGTCCGACCACTGGCTTAGGCCCGCTCCCTGCAGAGACTGCGAGAGGGTGCAGGCAGGGCTGAGGGACCCCCTGAGTTCACGAATTTCGTGCACCAGGCCTCTAGTCAATAAATAAAATAATTTTTAAAAATCCAGGTGCCCACACATAAAATAGTGATCTAGAATCCAAATGCTTCGCCTACCTCCACGGCCACCCTCCTGGTCTAGTTACCCTCACACTCAGCCAGACTATGGCAGCAGCCCCTCCCTGGTCTTCTCCCACCTCCCTCCGACCATAGCGCTCTCCATGCTGCCGCCACAGGGAGCCTAAGGAGACCTGGGTCAGATCCCCTCCCTCCAGGGCTGCAAAGGTCCCATGGCCCCCACCACCTGCGGAGAGACACCCAACTTGTCACAAAGCTGGTCTAGTCCTCACTCCTGTCCCACGAGAACGAAAGGACACCCGCGGGTCCCCAAACTAGCTCAGCCCCACCTCTCAGACCCCACACATAGGAACCTAGGGCTGGGAGGACCTCCCACCTCTCATTCCACTCGTTGCCAAAACCAGGGTCCACGTCATAAAGCACCAGCCGTGGCCTTAGGACTCTGGGCTGAGTGTCCCGGGGCCCAGGGCGGAAAGAGGGGCCGAGGGCCCAGGACCCCACGACCTCAGAGGCCACCAGAGAGTGAGGCCCTGACAGGAGCCCCCCAGCCCCGCCCCCCAGCGGCTCTGCCCCCGCAGGAACCGGTGGGAACGAAAGGGCTGAGGGCCGGGCACCCACCCCAGGACCCAGGGGCTCCGGCTGCTCAGGGCCCTGGCCCAGCCCCGGGCCGGGTGATGCCCGCCTCCCTCGGGGCTCAAGGCCCCTCTTTTGCTGACAACCACCCCCGGCCCCGGCGCCTGAGCAGGAAAGTGAAACTCCCCCCGCACCGCCTCGCCGCACCTCCATTGCTTTAGGCACAAATCAGGGCCCGGGTTTCCGGAATCCTCCCGGCTCGGCGGCCCCTGCGCTGTTCCCCCGGCGGCCCCTCAGCCCCTCACACCGGGGGTCACCCCCTCCCCCTCCTCCTCCAGCGCCGCGCGGCTCGGACGCGGGGCCTGGGCCGCAGGAGGGACGGGCGCCCGCCCCCCGGGCTGCGGGGTTGGGCGGGGAAGCGGGTGGCCCCGGGGACACGCTCACCTCAGCCGGGCGCCTGGGCGCGGCCTCCGCCATCGGACTCAGCGGGCGGGGAGGCTCCGAGGCCCCCGAACCGGGACCGGGGCGGTTCTACCAGCTTGGGACCCGCTGGCCGATTCTCCGTTGCCTCCTCAGTCCGGCCCCCGCGCTCTGATTCATTGAAACCGCCGCACTGGCCCCGCTGAGGGCCCTGAGGAGGGCACCGGAAGTCCCGCCCTAACCTCAAGCGCAATAGTGAAACGCTCGGTTTCCTGAGCTTTCATTGGCTCAACCCGCCATGGTTGGACGCGTTGCCTTCTGGGTAATGTAGTTTCCCCAACAAACTGGAGAGCTGCTGTTGTAGTCACTGATGTGGGAGATTAAAGGGACGGCTCATCCCTGACCGGTTTGGCTCAGTGGATAGAGCTTCGGCCTTCGGACTGAAGGATCCCAGGTTCCATTCCGGTCAAGGGCATGTACCTTGGTTGCAGGCACATCTCTATCCCTCTCCCTTCCTCTCTGTAAAAAAATCAGTTACACATATTTAAAAAATAATAATAAGTAAAGGTGTGGCCTATACTCTGCCTTAATAAGTCATTTTGGCCCTAACCGGTTTGGCTCAGTGGAGAGAGCATCAGCCTGCGGACTGAAGGGTCCCAGGTTTGATTTTGGTTAAGGGCATGTACCCGGGTTGAGGGCACATCCTCTCTCATAGATGATTCTCTCTAGTCCTCTCCCTTCCTCTTTGTAAAAAGTCAGTACATTTTTTTTTTTTTTAAATAAGTCAGTTTGTTAAAGCACCTCTTCTTTATGCCAAGGGTCCCTGGTCAAGGATGCAACAACTGTAGGATTCAGGGCAGGTTGGCAGGTCTGTGGGCAGTGTTGTGCAACTGCTGACTTCCATACTGGATATTGTTTTAGATTCTCTGAAGCTCAGCATGCTCTCTGAGGCCTATTATTTTAATTATCCCCAAGGACTGTACATATGAGTGGGTGGAGCGAAGAACCCTACCTCAGGATGCGGGGCCAGTGGTGGTTGTGAACAAAAGAGGGACATTGTGTGAAGCAGGGTTCTCTCATTGTCATTAAGACAGAAAATGCATCAACTCTCACTGGTAGCTGGAATGTGTACACCATTTCTGTCAACTCAAATGGAGTCATAAACATTACTAAATGTTATAAATGTCTGTACCTTCAGTCTGGGCCAGGACTTGATAGAATTTAGGCCACCCTCATATGTGAGGACAAGGAGTTGACTGTGCCTCAGGTGTCCACAAAGAACTTTGCTGCTGCTTGTGTCCTCTGTGACAGTGTCTGATCCATAGAACCTTTTTGTATCCATTTAGTATTTCCTACACAATATTATGAGACATATTCAATTCCGTTAGGAACCTGACATATTTCTCAGACAGAGAGCAACTCCTGAAATTCTCTCTGGGTATGGGCCTCAGTCCTCAGTGCGGACTCTTGCCAGCTGTGTTACCTCTTACACTTTAAGGCACTCCGAATGCTTTTCTCCAGGGAGAATTCTCCAATGAGTTTATATTTGTACTAAAGCATTTCCCACAATCACTACATTCATACCACTTTTCTCCAGTGGGAAGTCTTTTGTGTCGCATGAGGGCAGAGTTGTGCTTAAGGACTTTCCACAATCAGTACACTCAAATAGCTTCTCTCTGATATGAACTACCCGAGGCCAAATGGGGATAAATTTGCCGTTAAAGCATTTACCACAAACACTGCACTCATGGCCTTTCTCGTGTGAAGTCTGTGGTGTTTAATGCGAGCAGTGCTTTCACTGAAGGACTTGCCATAGGGATTTTTTCCAATGTGAATCCTGCAAGTGTTGAATGAGGGTAGACCTGTGACTGAAAGACGTCCCACAATCACTACAAGTGTATGCCTTTTCTACAGGATGAAATCTGGCCAGGCTAGAGCTTTGGCTGAAGAACTTGCCACAATCACTACACCAGTGATGGCGAACCTTTTGAGCTCGGCGTGTCAGCATTTTGAAAAACCCTAACTTAACTCTGGTGCTGTGTCACATATAGAAATTTTTTGATATTTGCAACCATAGTAAAACAAAGACATATTTTTGATATTTATTGTATATATTTAAATGCCATTTAACAAAGAAAAATCAACCAAAAAAATGAGTTCGCATGTCAAGGGCATGTACCTTGGTTGCAGGCACATCTCTATCCCGATAAGGAGTTGACTGTGCCTCAGGTGTCCATCCTCAGTTCGCCATCACTGCACTACACTCATGAAAGCATTTCCCCAGTGTAAGCTGTCCTATGTCGAATGAGGTGAACTATTTGTCTAAAAACTTTCCCACATTTGTTACCCTTATGATTCACTTCTCCAGAGCAGACACCCTGATGATGAACAACTTCCTGGCTGTGGCTGGCAGCTTTTTCACCTTCTCCCCAATGGTGATGGCTTTTTCCACTGAGAACTTCCTGTGAAATCTCACTGCCCCTGTGTGGCCCCTCGGTCTTAAGAGGGGCCTGGTGCTGGAGAAGCTCCGAGATGGCTGGGAAATCTTCAACCGCCCTAGTGGTTAAAAATGTGATGTTTCTTATCTGCCTTTTAAAGAAAACATAGGTAACAAAATACACAAATGTATAATTTCAATCGTGAAAGTGCCGTACACCTTTAACTTTAGTCCGTGCAGATTTAAATTCCCACCATTATCTTCGGGCGTGGCTCCTTACCTCCACCTGCTTTCCCTTCTGGCAGACCCCCCTGTAGACCCTTCCCTGCTGAGGAATTCTCACTCAGGCTCTGCCCTCAGGCCCATCACTCTCCCTCATTTCAGGATCCATCTGAGAGTAAAGCCTATCTGATTCCCTGCTCTCCCAATCTGAGCACGAAGCTCAGTTCAGCCTTCAGGGCCTCTCCCCGGAATTCCAGCCTGTGATTCCAGTTAGTTGTCCATGTGCCGCCTCCACCTTTGGGACATCTCGGAATCACCATGTCCAAAACCCACCTCCTGCATCTTTTTCATAGCTATCGGAATGGAGAAAGTTTAATTAGAATTATTAACTAAGCCTCTTAAACTTCTAAAAATCAATGGAAAAAATATCCTCACGTGAGGATTAAAAAATAAATAATATTTGACAAAGGATGCAAAAGCATACAATGGAGTCAAAACAGTCTCTTCAATAAATACTATTGGGAAGATTGGACAGATACATGCAAAAAAAAAAAAAGAAAAAGAAACTAGACCACCAACTAACATCATACACAAGAATAAACTCAAAAAAAATAACAGACTTAAATGTAAGTCGTGAAACCATAAAGATCCTAAAAGAAACCATACGCGGCAAAATCTGAGCCATTTCTTGTAGCAATATGTTTACGGATACATCTTCCAGGGCAAAGGAAATGAAGGGAAAAACAAACAAATGGGACTACATCAAAATAAAAAGCTTGTGTACAGCAAAAGAAGCCACAGACAAAATGAAAAAGGAGCCCACAGTATGGGAGAACATATTTGGCAATGACACAGCTGATAAAGGGTTAATTTCCAAAATATAGAAGGAACTCATGCAACTTAACAAAAGGAAGACAAACCATCCAATTTGAAAACGGGCAAAGGACTTTAAATAGACACTTCTCCAAAGTGGACAGATGGCCAAGAGACATATGAAAAAATGCGCAAAGTCACTGATCATCAGAGAGATACAAATTAAAATGACAATGAGGTATCACCTCACACCTGTCAGAATGGCTACCATCAACAAATGAACAAATGACAAGTGCTGGCGAGGATGTGGAGAAAAAGAAACCCTAACTCACTGCTGGTGGGAATGCAGACTGGTGCAACCATTATGGAAAACAGTGTGGTGTTTCCTCAAAAAAGTATATACGGAACTGCCATTTGACCCAGTGATCCCACTTCTAGGAATATATCCTAAGAACCCCAAAACACCAATCAGAAAGAATGAATGTATGCACCCCTATGTTCATAGCAGCACAATTTACATTAGCTAAGATCTGGAAACAGCCCAAGTGCCCATCAGTAGATGAGTGGATAAAAAAGCTGTGGTACATTCATACCACGGAATACTATACAGCTGTGAAAAAAGAAGAATCTCTTACCCTTTGAGGCAGCTTGGAAGGGCCTGCAAAGTGAAATAAATCATTCAGAGAAAGAAAAATATCAGATGTTCTCACTCATATGTGGAATCTAAGTAACAAAATAAATTGATGTACGGCATGGATCAGAGACACAGAAGCATGGAACAGAGTGCGAAATCTCAGAGGGAAGGTGGGTGGGTAGGCGGTAATCAACCAAAGACCTTGTATGCATATATGCATAACTTATGGAAACAGACAATAGGGTGCTGAAGACCAGGGAGAGGGAGGGGGAGGATGGGGCTGGAGGGGATCAATGGGGGGGGGGGAGGGGACATATGGAATACTTTCAACAATAAAGAATTATTGGGGGGAAGAAAAGGAGAGACTGATTATCCACCTGGTTAACAAAAGACTGGCACCATGGTGTCAGGAGCCAATCTCAAACAAAAAATAAATGAATAAAATAAGTGGAAATACATATGCATATTTAAATTCTTTCACAATTAGAGTAGTGAACATTTAAATACCTAACAATAATCACCACAATAAAGACTGGCACCTGGCGACACCATACGTCATTATATCAGTACCACTGACTATATTTCCCTATGCTGTATTTCACATGCTTATACATGCCCAGCACTGTTTTCGTAACTGCCAATTTGTAGCTTAATCTCGTCCTCTTTTTCACCCAATCCCATCTGGCAATATAAAAATGTTTTCTGGCCCTAACTGGTTTGGGGCCAGTGGATAGAGCGTCGGCCTGTGGACTGAGGGGGTCCCAGGTTCGGTTCCAGTCAAGGGCATGTACCTTGGTTGCGGGCACATCCCCAGTGGGGGGATGTGCAGGAGACAGCTGATCGATGTTTCTCTCTCATCGATGTTTCTAGCTCTCTATCCCTCTCCCTTCCTCTCTGTAAAGAAGTCAATAAAATATCTTTTTTTAAAAAAAAACGTTTTCTGCAACTAGGAGTTTGCTTCTGTTTGTTTTGTTCTTTAGATTCCACATAAGTGAACTCATACAGCTTTTGTCTTTCTGATTTTGACTTATCTTTGGGTAAGATTTCATTCTTTCTATAGCTGAGTAATATTATATCACATCCACATCACCTTTATTTATTTGTCTATCAGTTACCAACGGACACTTAAATTCCTTTCATATCTTGTTGGTTTTAATTTTTCCATTACCATTTACCCCCCCCCCCATACCCTGTATCACATCCACTGCCCCCCACTTTTAATCTTTGAGGAACCTCCACATCGTGTTTCCACAGTATGCACCAGTGCACATGAGTTCCATTTTCCCCACTTCACATCCTCATCAATACTTGTTCCATGTTTGTTGATCAATTGAGGATAGTCACTCTGACAGGTTCTCATTGTAGTTTTAAGTTCCTCTGTTGATTCTATTCATATGTCTACTGGCCATCTGTAGGTCCTCTTAGGAGAAATGTCTTTTCAGGTTTTCATAATGTTAAGTTGTATGAGTTCCTTCTATGTTTTGGTTAACCCCTCATCAAATGTATATCATGGACGCTCTGGCCAGGTTGCTTGTTGATTTCTTTCATAGTATTTAACAAACTCACCGTCCCCCCATATTTGCTGTGCATTAGCTATGCTCAACATCACAATATATTAGGAAAATGCAAACCAGAGCAAAAGCAGGTCCAGTGTGACTCAGCAGATTGGGCATTGTCCCAGGCACCAAGAGGCCACCAGTTGGATTCCTGGTCATGGTACATGCCTGGGTTGTGTGCTTCATCGCCAGTAGGGGCTTTGCATGAATCAGCAGAACTATGCTTCTCTCTCATCAATGTTTCTCTCTCTCTCCCTTTTTCTCTCTGAAAATAAAATCAACAAAAACATATTAAAAAAAAAAAAAAAAAAAAAGAGCCTGCAACACATTTACTAAAAGGGTCAAAATCGCCCTAACCTGTTTGGCTCAGTGGATAGAGCGTCAGCCTGCGGACTCAAAGGTCCCAGGTTCGATTCCAGTCAAGGGCATGTACCTTGGTTGCAGGCACATCCCCAGTGGGAGCTGATCGATGTTTCTCTCTCATCGATGTTTCTAATTCTCTATCCCTCTCACTTCCTCTCTGTAAAAAATCAATAAAATATATTTTTTTTAAAAATAAAAGGGTCAAAATCTTAAAAGACTAGCCCTATGCATTATTAGTAAGTACACCAGAGAACTGGAACCCACATACACTGCTGGTGGAGTACAAGAGGAATAATACATACCCAGGTTGCGAGTTGGATCCCTGACTGGGGCACATGTGGGAGGCAACCAATTGATGTTTCACTCTCACATTGACGTTTCTCTCTCCCTTCCGCTCTAAAATCAATTAAAATAAATGAGTCCTGGCCGGTTTGGCTCAGTGGATAGAGCATCGGCCTGCGGACTAAAGTGTCCCGGGTTCAATTCTGGCTCAAGGGCACATGCCTGGGTTATGGGTTCAATCCCCAGTGGGGGGTGTGCAGGAGGCAGCCCATCAATGATTCTCTCATCATTGATGTTTCTATCCCTCTCTCCTTGTCCCTTCCTCCCTAAAATCAATGTATATGTATGTATGTATGTGTGTGTGTGTGTGTATATATATATATATATATATATATATATATATAATTTTTTAATATATTTTATTGATTTTTTACAGATAGGAAGGGAGAGGGATAGATTGTTAGAAACATCGATGAGAGAGAAACATCAATCAGCTACCTCCTGCACACTCCCTACTGGGGATGTGCCCACAACCAAGGTACATGCCCTTGACCGGAATCGAACCTGGGGCCCTTCAGTCCGCAGGCTGATGCTCTATCCACTGAGCCAAACTGCTTAGGGCAAGAAATATATTTTTTTAAAAAAATAGGTGAGCAATGAAGGAACAGTCATTATAGATGGCAGCTTGGTGTTTCTTAAGTTGTACATTCACTTACACTCTGACTCAGGTAATGCACTTCAAGGTATTAACACAAGTAAGGGAACATATCAATATGAACTAAGTCCAGTTTCTTCAAATGCCAAAATTGTAAACAATTGAAACATCTACAAGTAGCTGAATAGTGGTACATCACTATAGCATGCTTCTGAATAATATAAAAACAATCAACTATTCAGATAAGCAACCCTGATGAATCTCAAAATAAATGCGTCATGCCCTGACCGGTTTGGCTCAGTGGATAGAGCGTCGGCCTGCGGACTCTGGGGTCCCAGGTTCGATTCCGGTCAAGGGCATGTGCCTCGGTTGCGGGCGCATCCCCAGTGGGGAGTGTGCGGGAGGCGGCTGATGGATGTTTCTCTCTCATCGTGTTTCTGGCTCTCTGTCCCTCTCTCTTCCTCTCTGTAAAAAATCAATAAAATATATTTAAAAATAAATAAATAAGTAAATAAATAAATGTGTCATATGAGGGCACCCAAGGAAAAGACTAAACACTTTATGATTTCAATCATATGAAATGCTAGAAAATGCAAACCAATCTATTATAACGAAAAGCAACTCTATGGCTGCCGGGAGGCCACAGTGATTAAAAGATACAAGGTAAATATGAGGGTGATGGAAAGGTTTATTATTATATTTGACTCGAGGCCCAGTGCACAGATTTGTGCACCGGTGGGGTCCCTCAGCCTGGCCTGCACACTCTCACAATCCGGAACCCCTCAGGAGTTGTTGTACTGGTGGTTTCAGGCCAATCCCTACAGGGTGCTGGCAGCGCCGCAGCTGCACTTGCCAGCCATGAGCCCGGATTCTGGCACCCAATGGTCAGCTGAGTGGCGTGGCGCTACTGCTGTGGGAGCACACTGACCACCAGGGGGCAGCTCCTGTCTGAGCGTCTGCTGCCTGGTGGTCATTGGGCGTCATAGCTACCAGCCGGTCATCTGGTCGCTTAGGCTTTTATATATATATAGATGGTTTCATGGGTTTATATGAATGTCAAAACTTAAATATGTTCAGATTATTGCATGTCATTTATACCTTATTAAAACTTTAAATATAGGTTCAAGCCCGACCTGGTTTGATTCAGTGGATAGAGCTTCAGTCTGTGCAAACAGAAGGGTCCCAGGTTTGATTTGGTCAAGGTCACAAAATTGGGTTCGGGTTGCGGGCTTGATCCCCAGTAGGGGGCATACAGGAGGCAGCCAATCAATGATTCTATCTCATCATTGATATTTCTAACTTTCCTCTCCCTTCCTTTCTGATATCAGTAAAAATGTATCCTATATAATAACGGCTAATATGCAAATCACTCAACGGCAGAACAACCGGTCACTATGATGTGCATTGACCACCAGAGGGCAGGCACTCAAGGCAGAAGCTGCCCCCTGATGGTCAGTGTGCTCTCACAGGGGAGCACCACTCAGCCAGAAGCCGGGCTCATGGCTGGCGAGCGCAGTGGCGGTGGCAGCTGGACATTCCCCGAGGGGTCCTGGACTGTGAGAGGTTGCACTCCAGGCTGAGGGATGTCCCCCTGCCCCCAACAGTGCACCAATGTTGTGCAGCACGCCTCTACTTTTAAAATAAATAACAATAGGTTCAAATTAAGTCTGGATTTTTAAAAAATCAGGTTTGGCAACTGTACTAACTGTATGTGTCCCTCACCTAATGAGAGGGACACATGCCTCTGTGGCAGCAAAAACGTGAGCAATGCCCTGACCAGTGTGGCTCAGTGGGTTGGAGAACTGTCCCACACACCAGAAAACTGGGGGTTAGACTCCCAGTCAGGGCACATACCCAGGTTGCGGGGTTCAGTCTGCAGTTTGGGCACACGTGGGAGGCAACCAATCAACGTGTCATTCTCACATCAATGGCTCTCTCTCCCTCTTTCTCAAATCAATAATAATAATAAAAACAGTGAACAGTGAAGGCTGTTTCCATTTGCATCACAGGAACACTGACTGGACCACAAAGGCCACATGTCTCATCCTTCACAGCCATTGGGACTAAACATTGCGGACCTTTCTGAAGATGTGCCTTCTGGAAAATAAAATGAAATAAACCAATAAATAAAAAGAGCATGCTAATCACTTGTGGCAGTCTCCTCCACTCTCTGAATCCAGTGTTTCTGCAACAATGATCCTTCTACTGGCCCCTGTCATCTTAAAACCAGTGATGGTACCTACAGAAGTCAGGACTTCAGGGCCCACAGCTCCACTGCAGGACCTGCAGGGACAGACGGTCCCACACCAGTGCTGAGCATGACACAAGAGGCCCTGTGAACGAGAACAAGTTCATGTGGCTCTCAGAAGCACGAAGGCTGTCACAAGGACCCCCTTCTCAGGTTGAACTCAGAACCCCCAAGTCATGGCTTCCAAGCTACAATCTAGGACCACAAAGTTCTGCTGTCTTTCCTAAAGGCTATAAGCAGCAACGCAAACTGGGCCAAACTGAAGACGTATATTCTGCCATCACACTATACCTTGAGGCACACAAGGTTTGGGATCCCAATCAATGCTGTTCACACCTTCTTGCTAGCAAACCCAGTTAATTTCAAAGCACCCAAAACAGTGACTAGAACCCCAAGATGAACAGTGGCTTGAACAATAAGACCTTTATTTTCATACAAACAAGAGCAATGATAGGCGCAGTTCCCGGGTTGGTGAGTTGGAGGCTGGAAAATGCCTTCACAGGAGTCATGTGAGATCAACAATCCCTGAAAAATGTAGTCCAGCTTTTAAAATGCCCAACTGAGTCCTCTAGGTCAAAACTGGGAAAGGTCCATGACCTAACTCAATAGAGAGGAAAAAATAAGGGGAAGAGAAAGTGCTCACCAAACTCATGAATTGCCCCCCAACTGAGGGCTTACATCCCTGAATGTTCTAGAATAGATAAATGTTGCACACTGTAGACTTCCACCAGGAGGTAGACTTGAAATAGGTTCTGCTCCAGAATTGCCAGTGACATAAGTCTGGCTATGACCCTGGGCAAGTTAAAAAGTGCAATGCAGCCCTAACTGGTACGGGTCAGGGGATAGAGCGTCGGCCTGCAGACTGAAGGGTCCCAGGTTCAATTCCAGTCAAAGACATGTACCTTGGTTGCTGGCACATCCCCAGTAGGGGGTGCACAGGAGGCAGCTGGTCGATGTTTCTCTCTCATCTGATGTTTCTAACTCTCTATCCCTCTCCCTTCCTCTCTGTAAAATATCAATAAAATATATATTTAAAAAAAAGTGCAATGCGCCCTAGCTGGTTTGGCTTTGTGGATAGAGCATCGGCCTGTAGACTGAGAGGTCCTGGGTTCGATTCCGGTCAAGAGCACATGCCCAGGTTGACGGCTTGATTCCCCTTAGGGGCGTGTAGGAGGCAGCAGATCTATGATACTCTCTCATCACTGATGTTGTATCTCTCCCTTTCCCCTCCTTTCTGAAATCAATAAAAATACATTTAAAAAAAAAAGTGCAATGCAGTTGCTGCATACATGCAATTTATATAGATGTTCAGATGTATGAGGCTCAACACAGGAAAATGGCAGCTTCATGTTGGGTCTACTCCAGTGTTGGTGCACTGAACAAATAGTATATACCTGCCCAATAAAGGCAGTTCCCCATTTTAAATCTGTGGTATCCAATAAGGTATGTTCTGCACCTGAAAGGCCTTCTCACATTCACTGCACTTATAAGGTCTGCCCCTACTGTGAATTCTCTGGATGTAACGAGGCTAGACTTTGGTAATGATTTCCTACATTTACCACAATCATAAGGCCTTCATCCAATGTGACGCGGTGTTTTAGGACCAGGAGTTAAGGGTAAATAATTCCCACATTCTGCCCTAGCCGGTTTGACTCAGTGGATAGACCATCAGCCTGCAGACTTAAGGCTCTCGGGTTCGATTCTGTTCAAGGGTACATGCCCGGGTTGCAGCCTCAATCCCCAGTAGGGAGCATGCACGAGGCAGCCAATCAATGATTCTCTGTCATCATTGAGGTTTCTCTCTCTCTCTCTCTCTCTCTCTCTCCCTCTCCCTTCCTCTCTGTAATCAAAAATATATTTAAGCAAAAGTAACAGTTTCCAACATTCTAATACTCACAAGTCCGTTATCCAGTGTGAACTCTTCGGTGTTTAATGAGGCTTGAGCTATGGCTAAAAGACTTCCCACATTGGCTACACTCATAAGGCCTTTCTCCTGTGTGAATTCTCCTGTGTTTGATGAGACTAGAATTTTGAGTAAAGGACTTTCCACATTCACTACACTCATAAGGCCTTGAACCAGAGTGAACTCTCTGGTGTTTTAAGAGACTGGAGCTGTAAGTAAAGAATTTCCCACATTCACTGCACTCATAAGGCCTTTCTCCAGTGTGAACTCTCCGATGCTGAAGAAGCGCAGAGCTTTGGCTGAAAGATTTCTCGCATTCGCTGCACTTATATGGCCTTTCCCCACTATGGACTCTGCGGTGTTCAATGAGGCTGGACTTTTGAGTAAAGGATTTTCCACATTCACTGCAGGCATAGGGCCGGGACCCAGAGTGAACTCTCTGGTGTTTTATGAGACTGGAGTGGTAGGTAAAGAACTTTCCACATTCACTGCACTCATAAGGCCTCTCCCCTGTGTGAACACTCCGGTGTTGAAGGAGTGCAGAGCTTTCACTAAAGGACTTCCCACATTCACTACACTCATAAGGCCTTTCTCCAGTGTGGATTCTTCGATGTTTAATGAGGTTGGACTTGTTGCTAAATAATTTTCCACATAACTCACACTTGTGAGGCCGAGCTCCAGTGTGAACTCTCCGGTGTTGAATGAGGCTAGAGCTTTGCCTAAAGGACTTCCCACATTCCCCACACTCATAAGGCTTTTCCCCAGTGTGAACTCTCCAATGGTCATTCAGACTATAGCTTTTGCTGTAAGATTTTCCACATTCACTGCACTTGTAGCCTCTTTCGTTAGAGAGGACCCTCTGGTGCTGATCAAGCTTGCGCTTGCAATTAAAATCTTTAGTGTATTCTGGGTCAGACAGAGTCCTTCCCTTATGAGAGGCTGTTCCGCACTCAGTTCCCCGGTTTGACTTCTCCTTGGTGTGTGCGGCCTGATGCTGGAGGAATCTTGAGCTGGCCAGGAAGTCCCTCACAACCGCCTCACAAGAATCGGGTTGCCCTGACACACAGAATCTGCAGTCCTTTCCAAAAGAGGCTCTATCCACGCGGCCTCCGAAGCACATCTCTCCCGTGTGCTGCTTCTGATGCTCAAGTTCCGCGCTAACATCCAACTGTTTCTCACAGGCCCCCGTCTTGTACAGTGTCTGCCCATGGTGCCCAGTGAAGTGCACAATGTCTCTCATGTCCACACCACACAGCTCACAAGGATGGGCCTCCGGGGGAGACACACCTGCCTTGGGAGTCCTGACCTGGGACCCTCCTTGTAAAGAACTGCTGAGCTCAGACGGGGCCTCCTCATTCTGGGCTCCATGCCAACAACCTGAAAACGAAAAGTGCTGGTTAAGTGCATGTTGACTCTGGTGGGAAGGGGCAGTCCACACACATGTGTCCGACAAACCCAGGAACAAGTCCTTGGCATTGTGTGCAGGACCAGGGAATTGGTTCAGGTTGAGGATGGGCTGCTCCGCAGTACTGGGCTATGAAGAGCACAGACGGGGAGAGGCCTCACGTGGTGAAGGACACAACCATGCAGTGTACATAGAGAGTAGACACAGGTCCACAGTTCACTTCAACAACGACTTCCCAAGAGAACTTTGCTACTGGTTAAACAGGAAAGTTGTGCAGACGGGTGTGTTAAGGTGCAAGAAAATACAACTGTAACAGGGCAGCTAGTATTCAGGGACTTTTAGAAATATGCACACACCTCAGGACACAATGCATAGGGGTCCAATGAGTCAGAGATGGGGTAGAAAGGAAACCAGGCGAGACACACAGTGCAGAGATGTGAGGCTGGAGGTGAGAGTAGAAGTGACAAGTGATAGAGCTGAGAAATCGGCAAAGAGTCCAGAAAGAAGAAGGACAGACAGAAGTGAAGTGTGGCCCCAGGCATGGGATCAAAACACTAGTTCAGCCCTAACCGGTTTGGCTCAGTGGATAGAGATTTGGCCTGCAAGCTGAAAGGTCCCAGGTTCGATTCTGGTCAAGGGCATGTACCTTGGTTGTGGGCACCTCCCCAGTGAGGGGTGAGCAGGAGGCAGTTGATCGATATTTCTCTCTCATTGATGTTTCTGACTATCTCTCTCCTTTCCTCTCTGTAAAAAAATTAATAATATAGCCGAAACCGGATTGGCTCAGTGGATAGAGCGTCGGCCTGCAGACTGAAAGGTCCCAGGTTCGATTCTGGTCAGGGGCATTTACCTGGGTTGCGGGCATATCCCCAGTAGGAGATGTGCAGGAGGCAGCTGATCGATGTTTCTCTCTCATCGATGTGTCTAACTCTCTATCTCTCTCCCTTCCTGTCCGTAAAAAATCAATAAAATATATATATATTTTTTAAAAAAGTCAATAATACATATATATAAAAAAACAAAAACACTAGTTCAACACCGTAGGCGTCTGGTATGAGTTGAACACAGCACTGACATCACACCCTCCTCCAGGTGCCATTCCTAACATTTTGCTGAGCCTAGATTCATATACATCCTGTGAACCACCTCTTTCTAACCCAACCCAACTCCCTCAGTGAGCACAGGCATGGCAACATATACAGGTACTGAGGGAAGGACAGCACCCTGAGTACCCAGCACTAGCCCAGAACAACTCAGCACATCACAGCCAACGGAAAAGAAAAGAAAACCAAGTACTACACAGAGAACTTCAAAGGAGGGTCTTGCAAGAACAGCCACAGTCCATGTGAGGAGGAACCATGTCAGTCATGGGGATCCCTGGCCCAGGCAGGCCTGAGGCAATGTCAGCTGGAAGGAGGCAGCAGAACCTATGTACACACGGGCCTGGGAGCTGAACAATCTCATGCGGTCAGGGAGAAGCAAGTCAGGTGTATCCAGTGGGTTCACTGGAAGACTCCTGCCCTGATTGCTTCCCTGCAAGTCTGGGGTTCTTGAAGGAAGGACAGGTCCATGCACAAACCTCAAACCAACTAAGCACAGCACCCATCCAGGGACCTGGGGAAGAAAGCTGTGCCTTGATCCTGGTGTGAGGACAGACCGGCTCCGGGGGGAAAGGGAAGGGCAGACACTACTGCCCAGGGCACGGGGGGAGTTTGAAAGCCTTACCCAGGGAGGCCATCAGTGCCATGTTCTCCAGCATCACACTGTGGTACAGGCGTCTCTGAGCCTCATCAAGGAGCTCCCACTCCTCCGAGGAGAAGTACACGGCCACGTCTTCAAAGGTCACCCAGCCCTGTATGAGAAGAAACAAATCATCTTTTCTGTCAAAGAACAGTTGAGAAGGCTGCCATGTTGGACTGTGTGGCTTGGCAGCTGCCATGTTGGCTGCATGACTTACAGCTTCCCTGGGGGCCCCCATCTCGAAACAGCAGAGCCCAAAACCCTCCCTTTGTATTAGCCAATCGTGAAAGACTGTGCGCCTGAGCTTCAATCAAGAGTAAGGGACAGGTCACGGGTGTCAGAGGTTATAAATCTGAGCGACCACCTGCTGGGTGTACACCTGCATCCAGACCACGTGTCCCCACCCTTCTTCGTGGAAGTAAAGATGTCTGCCTGCTGCCTGGCTCCCGGGTGTGATTTGTGTTCTACCTGGACCCCTGACTTGGGTATCGCCTTATTTCTAACACCTGGTGGCAGGATGGGGGCAGCTGAAACCAGAAAAAGCTCCTGTACTGAGAACCCACAATCCCCCCCCTCCCCTTGCACCCCGTGCCTGTCCTCCTCCCAATCGCCCAACTCAAAGGACCATCCACGTCCTGGTGCCATTGTGGCCTCAAGGGCTCAGGGAGGACAATGTCCCGCTTGTGTTCTTTGTCCCCAGGAAGAGAGACAGAAGCTTCCCAAACACTCAGCTCAGCTCTGCCCGAGGCCGGCGACCAGCTCCCGGCACAGCCTCCCCCGCGGGTGTTTATGGGCTGAAGGCAATGCCAGCGCCTGCATGCGGCCCTGGCCTGGCGTGTCCGGGGACCTGCTCTCCGAGTCCGAAAGAAGGCGCTCCAGAGACGGTGAGGGTGGGGGTCGGGGATAGTGAGGGTCGGGTCACGCCCCCCCCCCCCTTCCCTGTGGTCGTACCAGCACTTCCGCAGCCGCGGGACCGGGGAGGGGGCTGGCCCCGGAGACACACGGCCTCCCTGGACACGGCTGGCCCCGAGGGCCGGGACGCGCGCCGCCTGAACCCCCGCAGTCGGGGCAGCTGGCCTTCCGGGCGCCCCTCCCCTCTCCTCCCCGTCACACCGGGGGTCACCCCCGAGCGCCTCGCGGTCCTGGCGGCGCGGGGCCGGGGCTGCAGGAGGACGGGCGCCCGCCCCCGGGCTGCGGGGCTGGGTCGGGAGCGGGGAGGCCGGGGAACGCGCTCACCTCAGCCGGGTGCCTGGCCGCGGCCGCCGCCATCGGGCTCAGCCGGCGGAGCGGGCGGGGGCGGCGGGCGAGGGGGCGGTTCCCTCCCGCCTTGAAGCGGGTCCCTCGCGGGGTCGCCGAGCCTCACACCAGCGTTTGTGCGGCGCGGAGAACGACTCCCGCCCCTTTAGGACCCGGCACCTGGGTCCTGACTGAGCCGGGCTCCGGAAAGCCAGAGCAGCTAACGCGGCCGCCGAGGTAGTAGCCGGAAGTACCGCCCCCCCATATGCGTCAACCGCGGGAGCCCCTCTCTCCTACCTTCTTATTGGATAGCGATGCTGCCGCTCCACTCTACGCATTCTGGGAAATGTAGTCCCTTCCCACAGCGCGGGAAAGGCAGAGGGAAAAGGGCTTATTGTGCAAAGGCACTCAAGTTCAGCTGGGAGATGGGTGGGAAGTGGAATAGGTGCGCTTGGCCTCCTCTTTATTTTTATTTTAAATATATTTTTATTGATTTCAGAGTGGAAGGGAGAGGGAGCGAGAGAGAGAAACATCAATGACGAGAATCATTGATCAGCTGCCTCCTGCAGGCCCCGCACTGGGTATCCAGCCGCAGTGCCCGCAGGTGCCCTATTGAAATCAAACCGGGATGTGCAGGTTCGTAGTTTGATGCTCAACCACTGAACCACACGGGCCAAGCTTTCCTAAACTTTTTTAAAAAATATTTTTTATTGATTTTTTACAGAGAGGAAGGGAGAGGGGCAGAGTCAGAAACATCGATGAGAGAGAAAAATTGATCAGCTGCCTCCTGCACGCCCTCCACTGGGGATGTGCCTGCAACTGATGTACATGCCCTTGACTGGAATTGAACAGGGACCCTTCAGTCCACAGGCTGACGCTCTATCCACTGAGTTACACAGGTCAAGGCCCCTTTTATTTGTTTTTTCTCCTCCTCCTCCTCCTCCTCCCCTCCCCCTCTTTCTTCTTCAAGGGCCCCTTCCTGGTCCTGCTTCCATGAGCGGCTGTGAGGAGGTGGAAATGGGAGGGCAACCAGGCAGCAACGGAGGGGGCGGGGGGGGGGGGTTAACTTCACAACATTCCATTTATACACAGAATGAACCAGACAAGCACAGAGTCCCTACTGTGGTTAGAAGTTGGCAGCTTGTGAAAGGGGCGCTTGGGGGGCGGGGCGGGACAGGACAGGTTGCAAGTAGGTGTGTCAATAAAAACAATACAGCCCCTTTCCGAAACTGGGGTGCCTGGGGTGGGGGACTTGGTCTGTTTCCACCCAAGAGGAATCAGAAGATCAGACGCGTGTTGGGGGTCCAGAACCATCAGGCATGGAGGGAGGAGGAAGGCCCAGGGGTGGGGGCCTGTTTGGCAGCTGGGTGAAGGGATTGCCCCTGCCCTGCTGGGATCCCCCCAGCCCTCAGTCTGTTAGGAGGGGGGCAGCCTGCAACCCCAACAGGCAGGTGTGGGGCTGCCAGATGCTCCAGGCAGGGCGGGAGGGGGTCACAAAGACTCTACCTCCAGGGAGAGGCCAGCTCTGCCCCCGCTTCCCTGCCAGAGGGCAGGTCCTCAACTTCCAGGGAGCAGTTTGCTTGTCATTCATGCTCGATCCCCATAAGCTTCTTCCTGGCAGCCTTAGGGCTGGCATGGGTCATCTTGCTCATAAGGGGTGCGGACTTGGAGCCCGGAAGATAAACCCCAGGTCCCCGTGCTCTCCTCGGTCTCATAGGCTGCCTCACACAGGGCGCAGCTGACGAAGGTGGCGGAGGGGTTGTCTCCTGTCTGGCCCAAAGCACCCACCAGGACCTCCTCGCCCTCCTCCAGGATGACGGTTGTTGGAGACCAGGTGTCAGCTGACACGGTCCTTGCATCCGAAGGGGCTAGCAAGGCTGGGACCCTTACCCTCACAGTTGTCCCAGACTTGTTTGGATGGCGGTTATCAGTAGAATGAGAGCAACCTTTGTAGAATGAGAACAGCCTTTCATGGCTTACCAGGAAGTCTGTAACTATTTACAGAGATTTGCTGTACCGAGAATTTGTCCTTCCGCTCTGTCTCTCCCTTAGAGATTAAGAGGAACAAAGAATACATTCCTCTTGACAGACCTCCTATTCAGTGTCTTGTGTATAAATAGCATTGTGTGGTTAATAAACTTGCTGCAGATCCTCAATTGAGCTGTAGTCCTCCCGATCCCGCTCTCCTGTCTTTCTTTCTTTTCTCAATTCCCACCTCCCTACCTCAGCCCGGCTCAACCTGTCAGGCTGGCCCTGACAGATGGTCTTCTCGACTTCGCCTCCGCGGGTGTGGAGGCCTGACGCGCCTTCATGTCCCTCAACACTGTAATGACTCCATCACGGATGGCCACACCAGAGGCCACGCTTCCGGAAGCCGAAAAAGACACCAAGAGCCTGGAAAGATGAGAGATGAGAGCCGCTGCGGCTGCTGCCAGGACGACTCTCTCCTCACCTTGTAAGGGTCCCGACCTGACCTGCAACCAGGGCAGCACCGAGAAGCAGCAGCTCGTCCCAGGCTGAGCCCCTGAACCTGCGCTCAAGGCCCCCTTTTCTCTGATTGTCCAGAGAGCTATCCGCAGCCCCGCTTTGGCTCCCTCATTTCCCAGTGCTCCTAGAGCCCTGGGAGCCCCGCTCTGCTGCTGCTTGCTCTATCCTGATCCCTTCCTTTTATCACTATCCCCAGCTTCAATAAACGTTCCCTCAAAATCTCCTGAATTCACGTTGTGAAATCTTTTCAGCATGAAGTCAAGAATCAAACACTACAGGCCAACCTGAGGCCGACCCGCTCCAGGCTGCTTCCTGTCCCCAAACACAGTTATGCCTGGGGAACCCTCTATAAACACCGGCCAAGGCGTGGTTTTCCTTATAAAAATGGAAAGAAAGCAAGAGGGCCCACACTCACATTGCTGTTGTTGAGTCAATTCAATCTTAACACTATTCTTTTCCTTTAAATGTTTTTATTGACTTTTAGAGAGATGGGGAGAGTGAGAAACATCCATGATGAGAGAACCATTGATCATCTGCCTCCTTTACGCCCCCTACTGGGATCTAGTCCCCAACCTGGGCAGGTGCCCTGACCAGGAATTGCCCTCAGGACCCTTCAGTCAGCAGGCTGACACTCTATCCACTGAGCCAAACCAGCCAGGACAAGGGAGCTATCTTCAATGAGAAACTGTTGTTGCCGGAAGGAGAGTACGTGAGCCCGTTTTACATGTTTGTAGGAGCCTGGCCCGCATGGCTCAGTGGTTGAGCGTCCACCTATGAACCGGGAGGTCTCGGTTGGATTCCCGGTCAGGGCACAGGCCTGGGTTTAAGGCTCATCTCCAGTGGGAGGCATATAGGAGGTAGCCAATCAATGAATGATTCTCTCATCATTGATGTTTCTCCCCCTCCCCTTCTCTCTTGCTGTCTACCTCTCCCTCTCTGAAGTTTGTAGGAGACTCCCTTATGACCTAACCTGACCAGAATGTCCCTGAGATGATGCTCACCTTCGCATCCCCCTTAGTGAGAAGGTCCAATGCCCCCGCAGACAAGGAGTGTGCGTGGAGATGGTCCCTCACTCCTGCCCAGGGGGTGTAGGTCTGGTGTGAGAGCTGGAGCCAGAGGGCAAGGATGCCACCAGACACTCCTCACAGGCTGAGTTTATCCAATCACAGGCTTGAATCTCATCTCGGACCGAGGGCCTATAAAAGGCAGGAGCCTTGGGAAGCATATCAGTGGCACCAGCACTGTCAGCCAAGCCCCACAGCAGCTCAGCGTTGGGCCGGGATCACCCAGCGTGAACGTCTGTGTCCATGAGGAGGTGAGTTTCAGGAAGGGAAGGCAACGTTTCTGTGTGTGTGTGTGTGCACGTGCGCACAGGCATGTGCATGTGGGCAGGGCTGTGAGGACAGAGTTCCAAGGGGCACAGAGAGGGGGTCTCTCAGGCACTGGAAGGTCTGGGCTGGCTGTGGCTCTAGCTGGGCAGGAGCTGGCTGGACTGCAGGAGACCCTACCTGGGCAAATCTGTGTGTGTGGCTGTTGTCCTGTTCGTTGTATGTTTCTAGGCACTCATTTTCATGGCACCTTGGGAAAGTGTTGGTCCCTAGCATTCGGGTTGAGGATTGGGGTGAGGGTAGAAGCTGACACATAAAGAGTGACTGTCAGCCCTGACGGGTTTGGCTCAGTGGATAGTGTGTCAGGACACAGCTGTGTGCTAGGAATGGAGAGGAACCCTAGGAGCTACGGTCAGTCCTGATTCAGCAAGAACTCTTCA